TGATCAGGAAGGGGAGGGGGAGGAATGCAAAAGAGGGGGGGCGAATGAGGGGGAGAGGGGAAAATGATGATCAAAAGGCTGAGGAGCGGGGCCGGATGGAGGGGCAAGAGAAGAAAGTGCTGGATGATAGTGCGGAGGAGGATGAAGCCGATGATGACGAACATTTGAGGATGATGTGGTTGAGGAGGTGAAATCGGATAGTGTTGATGGTGGTGGTGGTGATGGTAAGGAAGAACGAGAAGGGAAGGATGGAGGATGAGGAGGGGTAGGAATGATGAGGCGCTATATGATGGTGAGAAGGAGGAGGGGCATCGCATCGCAAGTCATGCGCCGAACAGTGCGTGGACAGAACTAGCATGCACAAATATTGGGCAACGCCTCTCGCCGAAGCGCTGCACTCCAGAATGCTTGCCGGTACACTCGCAGCGTTACTTCTACTTTCGTATGGAGGAGAGGGAGGAGCAACTTGGAGGGGAATAGTGACAAGTAGGGCCAGGAGGAGGTAGTCGATGCGGAGGGGGAGGCCGAAATGGACGAGGTCGAGGGACAAGGGATGGAGGGATGATGATAAGGGATGGTAATGATGAGGGTCAGGAGGAGAGGAGGGAGGAACACTGGAGGAGGATTAGGACTGGATGGGAGGGGGGGGCGGATGATGATGATGATGATGATGATGATGATGATGATGATGATGATGATGATGATGATGATGATGATGATGATGATGATGATGATGATGATGATGATGGCCAGGGCGAACCCAACGTGCCTCTCCGACGCTGCAAACCACCCTCTCGTCCCAAGTCCCCTCCTCACGAGTCCCTGCAACCATCCTCTTTCGGGGGCGCGCAAACATGGATTAGCGATCCATGGGTCTGGCACGCGGTCGCCAAATCCATGGATCGGGGGCGGTGCCCTCCCCAGAGTGCTGCCAGTGCCGCCCCGCTCGGCGGCGGAGCTCCGTGATTTCCCAATGGAAAAGGGACCCGTCGCTAATCCACCAGGGGAACGAAAAATGAAGTAAACATAAAAACTCGGAGGCCCGCGCGGATTTCTCGGATCGGCGCTGGACCCCCCTCCCTGGCGCGCGGAGCGCGCCAGGGGCGGCGCCGGAGGCGCCGCCAGGGGGCCCCAGCGCGGATCCGAGAAATCCGCGCGGACCTCCGAGTTTTTGTGTGTATGTCATTCTTCGTTCCCCTGTCCGCGCCCCCCTGATCCGCGTCTGCGATCGCCCGGCGCTCCCACTGCGCGGGGCGCCTCCGCAAGACGACGACCGCCCCCGTGGGCCCGCAGTTCCGCAGGCGAGGGCTCTGCTCCGAGCAGGCGCTGCCCTCCGCCCTTCGAGCTCTTCACGGCGTGCGACAGAGCGTGGTGGCCTCGTCTTGAGGAGGTGTCTGCAGTTCAGTCGGGCCTGCCCCTCCACAGGGAGGACTTTCAAAAATAGTCAAAGAATAATCAGGGGACGATGATTTGACCACCTTTGCCAGTTTCTGGAGCATCTTTAAGGTATGTTTCATTTTTCGTTCCAAATCCCCCTGTGGGGGGACAGGCCCGACCTAAGTCTACAGCTGGGGCCATGCCAAGAAACACCCTGCTTGCCCCCAGGGTGCCATGGGTTTCTGAGATTTCGATGGTTTTGCGATGGAAGGGCGTAGCGTTCCGACACCAAGACTCGCTGGACGTCCTGGGGTCTCAGGGTTGGGTTTCTTGTGGAAAATTTCTTGTGGACTGACCTCCACTGTAACGACATCCCCGCTCTGAAACGGGACTGCCCCGCATGCGTGCAACTGCTGCGCAAGTGTGTGCGTCTGGTGGTGCGACAGTGTGGGGAGCTACCAACAGAGATCCCCATTCTGAAAAATAGCCACCCTCCATCCGTGTAGTTGATGCACAACTCTATGCTCCTTGTAAAATGTGAGATCGTACAAAAACCTGTGTGAAACAAGAACTGCCCTCCATCCGACTATCTGTTGTACACGTTTGTATGTTTGCCACCGGTATGTCAATACATCTCAAGCGAGAACCCCATCTAGAAAAGGAACCGCCCCTCATCCGTGAAACCGTGACTTTTTAAAGACGAGTGTGGGCGGCGCCAATGCGTGAACCCTATTTTGAACACCACCTGCGCTCTAACTGTGTAATCGAGAAATGCTTCGAGCGTCGATGCAGGAAGCTGTGAAGACATGTCAGGCGAAACGCCTGGCCTACCCCAACGACACGTCTGGTTTTGCGACACTGAGGAGTAGCTTGATTTGAACAGGCGTTGACCTAAAACAGAAGTGTCTTGCAATCTGCGCGGTGCAGTGTAGATGGTGCAACCAATGTGGCGTACGTAATCTAGGTGGTGCAAGTGTCGTGGTGCAGTCTGTGTGGTGCACAGCGGCGCGATCGATGCAACGCCATGCAGAGCAGTGCCACGAGATGCCAATCACTCCGAAACAATGCTGTACACTGCAAGCCCTTCGTCGACGCGCTTGTGCGCTTCCTGATGGGCCCGTCT